GAAAAAATATATCCAAATATTACTGATGTACGTTTACAATGTCTTTTATTCATCTTACAATATTTGATCGACAATGTACATCGGGATACGTGGGCTTCCAAGATCATTCAAAATCATTTACCGCCATTCAAAACTTACATGCATCCAATGTTCAGAAATTATTCCTTATCTCTTGTATTGGAAAAAAATGATCTTCGACGTAAATAGATTAATCTATTCTATGCTTAAATATTCTATCCTTAAAGAAGACACCTGCAGACTATTTCTGGTGGCGTTTTATGGAAGATAGTTTATAAAAACGAACTCACTACTCTTAAGAATATAAGTAAATATATAATAATATATATAATATATAATTTACTATATTATATATATAATATAAGTAAACGTGTAAAAAGAACCAGTATACTAGTTTTGTAACTTTTAAAAACATAGAATTATTAAATGAATTTGTACGACATTATCACCTAAATGAATATAGAAAAATAAAACTTCGAATTGGACGAAAATATAGACAGGCGAAATACATTTCGTGGTTGAATCACGGAAATTGAAATTAATACAAAAAACATAATTTGGTATAATTAAAATGAATTAGTAGAAAAAGTTTTATTTTAATTTTATTTGTTAACATAAAACACGGGAACTCAAGTTCGTATAAACAAATTCTTACAATTTCTGATAGTATATTCTTCCTTGTTTGAAAATTTTTTAAGTAACCAGATGAGATTGCGTAAACAAATAACAAAATATATATTTCAGGATAACTGTAAATTTACAATCAGTCTCGTAGAGAATCGTTTTTTTAAACAACTGACAACAATGGTTACTAATTACTAAAGATCTCTCAAAATGTTTTCCAAAGATTTACCTTTGGTTTCAGGAACTAATATATATACAAAGAAAATGCCAATCGCAGATAGTCCAGAGAATAACCAAGATGTACCAGACCTACCCATCGCTACCGTTAAGTCACTGTAAAATTTGGTTACAACGAAAGCCAATAACCAATTTAAAAGGCCAGCACTGCTGGCGGCTACACCCTTCACTTCTGGTGCAAAAATCTCGCCTATCATCATCCATGGAAGCGGGCCGAAACCAAAAGAAAACATGATAATAAATACGCATAAACATACTAAGGGTAACCAATTAAATGAATCTACGTACATGTTGATCTCCTGCAGATAAAAGTAAACTCCAAGAACAAGTGTCGACAAGAACAGGGATACTATCGACGATAATAGCAATATTCTCCTACCTATGTAATCTACAACTAGAGTACTCGCAAAAACAGCTACTACTTGCATTGCACCAACAATAATCATAGGAACACCTTCTGGCAAAGGACTGTCAGCATTAGTGAAATTATCACTGCCATAAAGTATAATAGCGTTCACACCGCAAAATTGTTGGAAAAACATGAGACCGTACGCGATTAGAAAACCTTTCATAGTTACTTTAGATTTGATCATGCTCGAGAATGAAACTTTATTCCTCCGCTTTTCTTCTATGGCTTGCAGTTGACTTTGTATTGCACCCTCTATATCATACTGAATGCCGTATAACTTAATTAAACTCTTTCTGGCAGCATCCTGTTTTCCCTTCATCAAATAATACGTTGGCGTTTCCGGCATAAACAGAAACACCACGAAGAAAATGATAGGAGCAACGATCGATATAATAGACAGTATAATCATGTCTACAACACAGCCCAACGCATATGACAGAAAAATGCCCACTGTAAGAAGCAACTGGAAGTAAGATCCGAGTCTTCCGCGAATTTTACTTTCAGCTATTTCTGCTGTATACATCGGAGCGGTTACGCAAAAGGCACCGGATGCAATACCGGTAATGAATCTACCGATATAAAGCATCGTTACGGAATTGGCGAAAATTATAATCAGCCAACCCGCGATAAAAGGAACCACCATGATTAACATCGAAATCTTTCTTCCAATGAAATCGGTTAAAATTCCAATAGGTACACATATCGCTCCAGCACCGAGTGTACATAGTGATCCAATCCACGAAAATTCGGTAGGAGTAATGAAAATATGAAACTTCCGTGCTAAGTAAAGTCCATTAGGACCAGCCGAAGAACTCCATCCTAAGACCATGCCTGCTGCTAGAGCTCCCAGAGTTGAAGACAAGCTGGCGACATACTGCGGTAATTTTTTGGCTGGCATGAAGTGATCGTCGTCATTGCTAACCAATTCGTGCTGTGAAATTCCGAGTTTTTTTTCGTTCATGTTGTTGAAATTATTTCGATGTAGAACCTGGAAGTATTTATATAAAATCTGATTATAATTATATCTTTCTTATTGTTATATTTTTATAATATACCTTATAAATATAATATATCTAATATATAATATATAATATAATATATCTTATAATATATTTATAAATATATATATTTTTATAATATTTATAATATATATTGATATATTTTTATAATTATATCTTTCTCAGTATTGTGCAAAACAACAAACTATTTATCCTCTATATATAATAATACTCAATATAAAAACTACATCCATTTGTGTTTCTCCTACGATGACGATTAATATGACTAAGATCGTGACTTTGTATTATAAATAAATATTTGTTTATTTTATGAACCGTCCGATGATTTTAATATTGATTGTGTACAGGATGTATTTTGCAATTGAACAAGACTAGAACTTCGTTCCTTAATGTTCGAGTATTTGTTGCAAATGTTTGTTTTTCCTCTAACACTGTCTTGTGTAGAGCAGTATTTTTTCTGTCTGCAAAAGGAACAAAGTTATAGTCTGGTCGAGTTACTAAACGCGTTCTATATTAGTATTGTTATTACGTATCGTGCAACGTTACCTTATTGTAATACGAAAATGTGATTTAGCTCTTTATATCCCAAGAAAACCGTCCCGTGTGCTAAGTCTGGGTGCACTTTAGGAAATACAGTTCTTACGAGAACCAAATGTAGTTACTATCTTGACATATATCCGTTTCTTATCAATGGTATGTCGGAATGAAGATTAAGCATGATTTAATCGTCGTATCTGCTGACTTTTCGTTCGTAACACATTGTTGACCACAGAAATTGTCCTGATACATTCAATTCGAATATGCTTTGTTTGATCTCAAAATTTATCAATTCGTTCGTTCATATGCAAATAAACTTTCAAATTTAGCGTTAAACAAACACTATCGTATCGAACACAATACGTTAGAATTCCATATATGTAATAGCAAAAAAAAGTTCTCGTATCTATTTGATAATTCTCTAATGCATTTATTATTCTTATCTACAAATGTTGTTCATTGAATTTGATATAACTCGATAATCGTGGATACTTTGGACTAAATGTAATCAATTTATCTTAATACGTATAATATAATAATATGAAAAAGATATAAAAAATTTATATGCAACATGTGTGTCATTAATTAATTTATGAAAGTGATATTTCCATTCCAGGAAAGGTTTATTTCTATCAGGAAACTGATATTCCAGTAGTTCAATAATTTTAGCAGTTACTGTTCTTTCTTTAATTTATAAAGTTACTAATATTTTTTGTAAATTAGTTTGTAACATTGGAAAATCATGATTAGTTCTTTCTAATACGTGTTTTAAATATTGACGATAATTGTGTTCCATTTTCAAGCTTTCTTCTATTGTGTCTTCGTTTTTATACACCATTTTATAAGTACCATTTTTTACATCGTGTAATTGTTTTGCTTTTCTTTGCTTAAGGACTAGATTATGTAAATTCTGTAAATGCCACATAAATAATCAAATAACTTGAAAATGACGTTATGAATTGAACACAGTTAAATACATACATGACATTTTAACATTTCCAATTGTTCAATCTCGTTTCCTATATTAGGAATATGTTCTTTAATGTTTTGTAAATTTTGTTTACATTGAACTAGTTGATCTTCCGTACTTTTTAACTGATTTTTTACTTGCTCTATTGTACCATTAGTTCGTCTTAATACCTGTAAATTCCGCAGCAAAATCGTTTAAGAATTGGTTAATTAATCGATGAGATAACAAAAGCACACACCTTTATAAATTGTTTGATTTTTATCCGTTGATCAGAGAGACGTTTATGAATTATTACTTTCTCATTATGACTTTCTTTCGGGTTCTTTTTAAATTTTCCAATTACTTTGTTAAATATAACATCTCTTCTTGCGACACAGAGTTCCATATCATGGACCAATTTTTCTTGTATTTTTTTTAGGTAAGAAAGTCGCATTTCCATTTTATGTATCTCACTTTTCATTGTTGCTATACCTCCAGCACTATGTTCATCCTTTATCTTCTTTACTGTTTCTTGCACAAGTTGTACCTTAAATATAACATTACAGTATGTAAATTGAAGATATAAGAAAACATACTATATTATAATATGGCTTACTTTCTTTTCCCAAGACAAACTTTCTTCTTGCACCGATTTTAAATTTTCTTTTAATAACAACTTTTCTGTAACTAAATTTTTTATATCGCTTCGCAATTTTATAAGTTCCAATTCCAATTCTTGAAACGAGAGGATATATTCATTTTTTATTATGCAATTTTTGTCTTCTAGTTCATCTTTCAGATCCTTTTGCATTACTAAACCTGCATTCATACGTAATAGTTTTTGTTGAAGAGAAAGTATGATTTTATTTACATGTGCGTCGTCTTTCATAAGCATGTGTAATGCAGATTCCAATTTTAAATTCTTTTGTCCCATTATCATAATTTCTTTGTCAAGAAGATTTATATCTCGTAATTGCGATTCCCTTTGTTGGCTTAATGAAACCATAAAACCTTGTTGTCGCATCCAAAATTGTTGTGCTTTTTGAATATTCTGTAAATGATCTTGAATAGTTTTTTCTAAACCAATAATTTTTATATCTTGTGGTCCCAAATCTTCACCAATGTGTGGTGTGAGCTGAAATTATTTATTCATAGATTATTTTATATGAAATTGACAAAATCAAATAAATATAAAATACGAAGGTATGTAACCTGTTCAATAACTTTGTTCAGTTCTAAAAGTTTTTGCTGTTTTCGTTCAATTGTAATTTCATGTTTTCTCATTTCCTTTTGAAATTCATCTATTTCCTCTTCCTTTTCTTTATTTTTTTGAGAAATTTCTTCCAATTCTTTTTTTTGATTTTCAAGGAGATTTGCAAATGTTTCTACCTCCAAAAGACTACTTCCATATAAATTTTCTGTACGTGCAAGTGAAACTTCATTTTCCAACACAGCATTTTTTGTATTTAATAACAATTCGTTTACATATTGTGCGGTCTTGTTAGATATAAGTCTTTCTTCTAACTTTCTGAACACTGTATTTTCTAAATTTAGTTTCTTTGCAACTGTGAT